AATTTCCTGGATCATTTCCCTTTTTAAATATCCTTTATGAGTTTCCTATTTTCATTTTCATTTTCATTAAAGAATCTTTTGCATTGAGATTTTTGTTAGTTTTTATCTGTTGTACTATCCAATTGTAGATTTTTTATACCACAGATCACATAAAAGACTATAAAGAGAAAACTGAATAAATATTTGTAGATTGTTGAGCAGTTTGAATACTTTTTTATATGAAAGGAAAACCTAGTATTGTATGATCGATGAGTTTAAGGAAAAATGACATTTGATTGTTCGTTTCTTTGAGAATTTATTGAATTCGGTCAAGAAATTAGATATAAAAAATTATTTTTTTTGAAAATATAAATCTGATAGAATCATACTTAGTTTTTATGCAATATTGTTTTACATTTTATGTACAAATTATCACCGATATCCTGAAACTTACTGGGATTTGAGAAATTTTGAATAACTCCAGTTTCTTTTACGAGTACTGGAATAAATAATTCGTAAATATTTTTAAAAAGAAAATAGCTGCATAGAAAAAGTGAATTATTTATTATATATGCGGCTCAAAAAGACCTTTCCTTTAATTTTTGTTTTCATTCGGATAAATTGCAATAAGGCCCATATTACCCTAAAGATACCTGTTATCATGTGGCATTTTAAAATATTTTAAAATATTTTTTTAAGATATTCGAAATTTTCTAGTACGTCATAAACTGTAATACAGAGACTTATCTATTGAAAATATTAGCAAGTACATGAAATATAAAACGTCTACACTATTCAGCAAAATTAATGTTTATACCAACAATTCTAAAATTCCGGTTAGAAGAATTTAAGCGACAGAGAGATGATTTGCCGATATCCGTTCAAAAAGAGGTGTAATAATAAAGATGTGATGTGATTACCAGGTTTTCCCAGTGTGAGTCAAATCCACCTAATAGAGAATTTCTTCATTCTCTAAGTGCTAATTGCTAAAACTTCAATTTATAATCACTACACTCCAATTTATAAAACTTACACTAAATATAGTTTAGTATGGTTTCTCTGAATTCTTTTACATATTTTTATTGGTTGCCATTCTTATTGTTATTTATAAGTCCGAATCTCTCTTTCTACCTTAACTTACGTTTTAACACCTGTCTTCAACACAATGTTAATCCACCAAAAATGGTTGTTTTAACAAATCAAAAAATATGTCGAATAAAATATGTTAATAAATATAATATTAAATAATTTTTATAAAGTAATTGTGCGCGGTTAGGTAATTTTGATCTTAAAATACCTTTAAAAATTATATACAAATATTCTCACTTACTCTTAAGTGCATTTTGGGCTAATGAACATTAGGTCTTCTAATGGTAAAGTTGTCATATATCAATAATGTTCGTATATGAAATAACCCCTTTATAGTGTTCTTAAAATCACACATTGATTGCTCTCCAATAAAAAATTCCCATCATATTCCTAAACATAGCAATAAAACGAATTGACTCAGTGAAAATTTTTTATAGAATGAAATTAACAATTAATTCAAAAATTTTTTAAGAATTAACAATCTTTCATAGATTCGCAAATTAAGACTCTTCTTCCTAATTCTCTTGAAATCCTCACTAATCACTTTATATCATTTACTATTAAATGTACGACCTGATACCGTGTCTGTTAAGATAATGTGAAAAATATCTTTTCAAAAAAGGGTTGTTTCAATCATTCTAGTCTTTCCTCAAACTATTTGATGAGATTTCCTTAGGCAACTCAACAATTCATTTAATCTCATCAGGAATTTTTTACAGCGTTATTTGGTAGCAATCAACTGCATTCATTATAATGTGAATGTACTGCAAATATATGTATACTCACAAGGTTTTTTTTTAAACATAATTCTAGCTTTCGGCTGTTTAATTACACTTGTCCTTTCGTCCTTACATGCCACATTTTGGCCGCTTCAAATTGTATTAAGAGGTAATGCAACCATATCTTGACAGGATTTGTTAGGTTGAGATTTGTTGTTTGTATTGTTTACGTATATTGAAAATAAATCTCTGCTATGAAACATCATTCCTGCGGCTATGAACTTTTATTAGAGCTTTTATTAGAGCAACCACCTTGGCTGCTTTAGAAGTACTTTAAACTTGTCAGGAAACAAATTGCAATAGGCTTATTATAGCCTTCAGCAACACACTTTTTTTGTTTTTATGTGTAGTAGCTAACAACAATTTCCCAAAGGTATATGCATTTATAAATAAAACACTTGACTGTAGGATTCAGTTAAAGTAAAAAAAAAAGACTTCATTTTGGCATGTAAGCCTTGAATTATTTTATTTTGTGTGCTCTGAACAAAGTAAAAAATGGCCACCAAAAGAAATTACTACCTCATATATCCTTGCAGTTTAACATGTTTGCTATTAAAGGACATTCTACACAGGCATGATCTGCTTAAACGCCCTTTATATATTAAAATCTTCATTTTTTTCTTGCTTTTACCAGAAGAGAAGAAATTGGCCTGTGCGTGTGCATTGTAGAGTGCAAGTTGACTGCTCATACCTAAATGTAGAGACAATATCCTAGTCAGAGTCAGTCAACCAAACAGTCCACAAACAAGCCCGCGTCAATGCCGCTGAAGATGTTCCACTCATGTGGATGGATGTATACTCAGTTGCAGCTCGCACTCTGCAGCCTTATGATGTTTGCTTAGCTGCTGCCTTCGGTGCATCTTCCTTAGGTATATAACGGATATGATGTGCCCTGCTACTGTGGTGCTTGTCTTTGTTCCTGTTGTTGCTTCTGTTGCTGCTCCTACTTGTTAATGTCATAGGAAAGCTGTGTTTGTTTAGTTCTCATATTGCAATTCTTATACATACAGAAACTTATGCAACAGAAGAAATTTAGAAGAAAATTCATCTCAAAGATACCTATTCCCTAGTATATATTTGTATATAGGAGCATTAAATGCGTTTAAATATACACATGTGCTTATATATTTGCTCATATTCCGTTGATGTGAACACTAAATAATATGGAAGTATCTAGGAAATGCTGGTATACATATTAACAATCTTTTAGTAGGACTACTAGAAACAGGGTAGCAGGTGTGCTGAAAATTTGAATGTGCTTATAAATCAGATATAAGCTGTTGAGGTTTTTATTTAATTAAAAAAATTAACCTAATTGAAACTGGTTTTTTCTTGTTTTGATCATATGTAGTTAATATATAGTTCAATAGGTTTTCATTTTAATGACATATTATTCAAGTACATATATGCATTCATATTTATTATATTTTTCCTAATATATCCTTTCACATGTGTCTAATTTATTTTTTCACATCGATGTGACGTATCCTTTTAGATTACATTACTTTAAACTGTAGAATATTAGATACAGATATTTAAACAATATCTAAAATTTATTGCATGTATCAGTCAAAATATCACAAATTAACATATTATATTATAATTTAACATTACCCAGAAAAATTGCGAACAAAAAAGTCAAGTACGGCTTTGGATCAGTTGATTAAGGTGCGCTGATTCTGAGCTTCACATTTGGCAGGACCCGAGTTCGATTCTTGGTACTTGCAGTCTCAAAAAATAATTATTTATGAATAATTAAATACAAAAATTATTTCCAAAACCACTGATGATCGGTATATGGCAATACTCGAAACAGCTGTATGGTCAGCCAAAAATTCAATTAATTAAAATAATATAAAAAAAAAGTAAATAAAATTTTTGTTGTTGTATTTCGCTACTGTTCGAAAAACCTCTTTATTTAAGATTATATTATAATATACTTGCATTCGTCTGTACTTACATCAAATACCGAAAATTTAATTATATAATAATTATTTGAATGGTCAGGTGTGCTCCATTTTTCTACTAGAACATATCTACTATTACATGTCGAATTAAATTTTTTTTTGAATTTTTTACGATATACATTTCTAACCGTACATAAAATATACAAAATGCGTCTCAAAACCATTTCAAAATCAATCTTAGATTCGAATAACAAAGTCTGTGAAAAAAATGAATTTTGATAATTATATTCCAATATTAGAATATTCCAATATTAGAACCATTCAAATCAATGATCTTCTAGATCTTCCAGATGTGAGAAAGGAGTCCATTGTTTGCCGTTTCTACGATTTAAAGCTACTCGCGCCTTAAGGACTTAAAGCTGTAGAAAACTGAAATGTACAACTTTGTTAGCTGTCAATTAGGTTTCACATTTCTTTACCAAAAAATTTCTCTTTTTTAACTATTATAATTTTTTACTAGATGTAGACCTGTAGTCTATATATATATACATATATAGTTGTGGAAGAGGCTCTTTTCTGTTGATTACTTTAAAATATTGGTAGAAACTAAGGTGAACTGGTTTTTGATAATTGACACAACATCTAAGTCGATGCCATTAAGTCTCATTCTCAAAATTCCGACAAGTTTGCCGGGAAACGCACTAATCTACCAGCCCGCGGCACCTTTGGAATAAGCGAAAGGGATCCAGGATTACGGTCACAAGCAGCCACTGGCTGATAATCATCCGTTACTGCAGTCGGCTGACGTGTTCAGAATTTAAAAAAATCTTCACTTAAGGCTTTTCATATCATCTTTGTATATTGAATACATTTTTTAAAATATAAATCATTATAAGGCATTTAAATGTTCAATACAACCAAAGTATTTATCATTATCCATTTTTTTTGTTTTTGCATGAAATTTAAACTGTTTTAATATTTCGTATTAATTCATTTTAATTTTATTGTCGCAATGCATTGAGGCGGCTTAATTTGCGCCATAACGTTTGGCTACGCGTGTTAATATTGATGTTTGCATTTATATTTGCGTGCGTTTGCCTGGGCATTTTGTTTGTGTAATGCATTTGCTATAATTTTAAAAAATTAATTACATAAATATACAAAAATCCGTAAAATAAATTTGTAATAATTTATTTATTGATGTCCTTTAAAGTGAATTTAATCACAAATATACACAGAAAAGTTTTGCATGCGAAAGTACACAAACGCACTGTTAAACGTACACGCATGTCCACACTATGTTAAACATTAACATTAAATTACCACAAATGTCAATGCATGAATGAATAAAACTGTAGTTACCCAGCGGGACTTTCAGCGCTGAGGGAATCGATTCCCTCAGCGCTGAATGGTAATGCCTAGCGCTGATTATTCAAATGAAACTCCTAATTACTT